TGCTGCTTGGCCTGCTGTGTTCATCCAGCCCTGCACCTTGTTGTCTCGGATTCTCCAGCATCTGCAGTTCCTACTATCTCTGATTCGATGTAGAAAGCTGAGTTGTGCAAAAGCTTCCTTTTACAGACTGCTCACAAAATTGGGAATCACTAGTTTTGGTTCTTTATTCTTTCACTGGCAAGGCCATCATCTGTTCACCATCCCTCACCACCCTTTAACTGAGTGGTTTGTTTGGCCATTTCAGAGGGCAGTTAAAGCCAATTGCTATGGGTCTGGAGTCACATGTGTCTCAGACCAGGTAAGGAGAGCAGGTTGCCCTCCCTAAAGGACATTAGTGAGTCAGATAGGTTTTTATGACAATCGATGACAGTTCCAGCATCACGAATATTGAGACTAGCTTTTATCCCAGCTTCTTTATGAATTATTCTTTATGAATATTAGGGGGTGCAATGACCTACTGGTATTCTTGCTAGACTATTAATCCAGAGACCTCGGTTCCTATCACGCCATGACAGATGGTGGAAATTGAATTCACTAAAAATCTGGAATTAAGAGTCAACGATGACCGTGAAACCATTGTTGATTGTCGGAAAACCCATCTGGTTCTTTTGGGAAGGAAACTGCCATCCTTATTTGGAAATATATTGCCGTTCTTTCACTGTCGCTGGGATAAAATCTTGGAATCCCTCCCTAACAGCATTGTGGGTCTACATACTGCATATGGACTGCAATGGTTCAAGAAGGCACCTCACCACCATTTTCTCAAGGGCAACTAGGGACGGGCAATAAATTGTCGGCCCGGCCAGCAACACTCACATCCCACGAGTGAATAAAGAATTTATCTGATCTGGCCTATACGTGATTCCAGACCTACTGCAATGTGGTTGACCCTTAACTGCCCTCTAAGCAATTAGGAAAGTGCACTAAATGCTGACCTAGCTAGTGATGCCAAATTCCCGTAAATTAATTTTTAAAAAGACTGAATTCAAATCCAACCATTTTCCATGGTGGGATTTGAGCCTATGCCCCCCAATCATTAGTCTAGGCCTCTGGACTACTGTTCCAACAACATTACCACTAGGCCACCACCTCCCATCATGTGTATTCTCAATTCCCCACATCTGTGATCTGTTTATCATTTTGTAGAACAGCAGGCAAGACACTAACTGTAATCAATAGCACACTCAGTTCTCAAGACAAAAAGTGCATTCAACCCTCTGAGAAAATATTACTCTTAATCTGTATCTTAAATCATGACCCCTTTGTTTTTAAACAACAACCTCTTGTTCCAGATTCTGTCAAGATGCCTCAGGACCTTCAATTTTCAGGCAAGTTGCCTCTTAAGTCTTCAAAACACCAGCTGATGCAGGCATAGCCTGGCCTACCAGTCACTGAATCTCACAGTTCACAAGAGGCCCTTTGGCCCATCGAATCTGCACCAAAACAAACCTATGCTAAATTTACACTAATTCCATTTTCCAGCACTTGGCCCTTAGACTTAAGTGTTAGGACATTTCAAGTGCTCATTCAAGTACATTTTAAAGATTTCCTGATGAGCACATTTCAGATACTAATCTAGTAAACCTTCTCTGACCTGTTTTCCAATGCATTTCTGTCCTTCTTTGAATAAGAAGTCCAGTGCTGTACACAATGTTCCAAAAGTGGCTTCACCATTGGCCTGTCAAATTGAAGCATAACCTCCCGATATTCCTGTCACAGTAAACAGCTGCAATACCTGATGGTTTTAGTTGAAGAATCTCTACCAACAAAGAAGCAGTGTTTCCCATCGGTGATCTGCTGGGCCCACAGAGGGTGAAGCCAAAAGATGTCAGAGAAATGGCCAGCGTAAACAACAGGCATGATCCAGTTCTCAATGCTCAGGTCTCTATATTTAGGGCAGAGTGGGGAGAAAAGAAAGTCTGATCACTTTTCCAAGGACAAATAAGAAACTGAAATGAGAGAAACAGAACATTTACTTCCATTGAACTAGATAATGGCTTCACAAGGTGCTTCATTCTTGCTAATTTATTGTCAAGTCCCACAAATGAAAAATCTCCCTGATTGGAAAGAGTTTCCCAGATTTAAATATTGTCATCCCAAGACTCGAAAGCAAATTGCCATCCACTTCAGTGTCTTGCCCAGCCTCCTTCCGTCAGCACCTTCCAAAACTAGAAGGGCAATAGGTGCATTGGAACACAATCACATGCAAGTTCCCCTCCAAGCCACATACCATCCTGATTTGGAACAATGTCATCATTCCTTCAGTTTTGCTGCATCAAAATCTTGCATTTCCCTCTGTATTTACAATGTGGATCTACCTACAGCAAATGGATTGCCAATGGTTCAAGACAGCTGCTCACCACCACCTTCGGCTGGGCAGTTAGGGACGGGCAATAAACGTTGGCTCAGCCAACGATGCTACGCCCCATGAATGGGTCAGTTAGAAGCTCACTCAGTGATACCACAACCACCCTCCGCCAGCAAAGCTGAAATAATGTAATTTCTTCCGTCATTCCATCTGTTCTTCCCATACCAAACCGAACAGTGTCTTTGCTTCTCGCATGACCATTATGCTTATACAAGGGCATGGTGACAGGTGGATGAAGCATTGTGGGTATCCAGTGTTACCATGGTGCCCTCACTGCTCCTGGTGTTAGAACAAGCTACAGTGGCATGGCAAGGCACTGGCGTTTCAGCAGTGTCTCTGACAATATAAGATCATAAATGAGTTTACAATAAAACAAAATACTGTGGCTGCTGGAAGTCTGAAACAAACACAGACAAAGTACTGGAGAAAGTCAACAGGTCCAGCAGCATCTGTGGAGAGAGAAACAGAGTTCAGGTTCCAAGTCCACTGACCCTTGTTCAAAACTGAAATGCTTTCTCTCCATTCATGTTATGGCCTCTGGCTGGAGCAATGACAACAACTTGGAACAGCCCAAAAGCCACAAAACCAAGCTGGTCAGCTGCACTGAAGCTGTCTCAACTCCAAATAGAGTCGGACAGAATCTTGGCCTTTACCTGGTTGAATTCATAAATAAATTCTGTTACACAAAGGCTTAGGCAGATCCCATCTGCAGCACTGACCTCTGCCTTGCTTAGGAAAGAGATCCTGGCCTCGAAGGGTAATGGAGCACATTAACCAAAGTGGTTTCCATCTGTTCCCATGCTATTCACTGGCTACTTTTGGAACAAATCAATCTTTTCAGCAGTTCCCGACTTGAACAAAAGCCAATGTTTGTGACTCAATCCCTGACTCGATCCAACAGAAATGTCTCCTGCTCTTGCCTTTCCTGTTCTCCAACTGCATTAATGGTAGACATGGTCCTACCTGCTCTTTTGTTCTCTCAATTTCTGGCATATCTCTCAGGGTCCTCCTTGTGCTCCAACCTTCCCTGTGCTGCAAGCGAGTCTACACTCCACGTTTCCCAACCAAACTGCCTTCCCTCCCACATCTCCCTTCATCCAAGGCTCAAGGTTTATAGTTTGTGCCTGGCCACTGCTTTGGCCTGCTCTTTGAAGGGATTTCCGTGACAACTCCAGACAAAACCACAAACAAAATCACCAGCTATAGAAAACCTGACATACCCAAGGCTCTGACAGTATATTATTGAATTTTTTTAAAAATTAAATGTTCACGGAGCGTGGCTGTCGCTGGCTAGGCCAGCATTTATTGCCCATCCCTAATTGTTCAGAGGTCAACCACATTGCTGTGGGTCTGGAGTCACGTGTAGGCCAGACCAGGTAAGGATGGCAGATTTCCTTCCCTAAAGGACACTAGTGAACCAATTGGGTCTTAACAACAATTGAATTCAAATTTCACCACCGGCCTTGTTAAGTTTCCAACCCACATCCCCAGAGCGTTACTTGGGGCTCTGAATTACTGGTCCAGTGATAGTATTGTGATGCCATCACCTTTGGAATATCAATTGCTCATTAACTGCGATAATTAATTTCTCATTCTCCCAACCCACTGGACATTACCTGTAACTATTTACTAAACAGGGAGTAATTTGGAAAGGTGAGATTATTTATAATTATTTCAACAAGGACAGAGACACAGATTATTCAACATTTAAATGCAATAAAAGCCAAGTTACGTTACCCAAAAAGCAGCTCTTTATCAAACACACTATCAGCTAACATGTCAATTGGGATTAGAAGGTCTGGGTGTGAGTCCAGGTGAACCAGGGCAATATTTTCAATTGGCAAATGCTTTGAACCAATTGCTCGATAGATGAACGGTACCACCTAAAAAGACAAGAACAGAGAGAATGTCCTGAAGAAAGCTTAAACAGGAAGAGGGTGAGGTGAAATCGACATTGTTAAATTCTGAAACTTCAATCACGAATCACCCAGAGTCACAGTTATGGCTAAACAACACATTTACTCCTCTTCCATCAACAGGAACATTCAACCAATTTTTGTCAAGACCCCCTCATGAATACAAACACCTCTATCAAAACTCCTCTCGAGGTTGTCTTTTTGAAGAACAGTTGTGGTGGTGGTGGGTGAGGCAAGGGCAGGAGGTGGAGTGTAAAACATTGTTCAATCTTCACATTAAAGACGTCTGAAAATCTTGGGTAGAGATGCTGCCACCAATCCCTGTTGTATTTTTAACTCAAGGCATTGGGTCCTGACCTTGGGCCATCTGGTCCAGAGATAGGATCACTACCACTGTATAAAAAGACCATTCCAACCCTTCTGATAATCCTAGTCTACATGCTTATTAGTACTAAATGGTGAAGGATTAACCACTAAATCGTCTTTGGCACAAAAAGCACCTAACTTGGATAAAAAGTAGTAGTTTATTGCATTAGAAAAAGATAACATGTTACATTAGCCTGAGAGTGAAACTATAATACACTGAGTATGGTTATCTCCAGAGAGATTTAAAACCAGGCCCAGGATAAATATGGTTACTTCAAGACTGAGGAACTCCTCCCACAGACTCTCACGCTTATACACATACACACTGGGCTGTCTATATCAAAACTCACGTTACTATCATCTCTCATAGTTTTCCTCTCAACAATCCATCATTTCATACATCTCTGTACTAAAATGATTTAGCTCAGTCACATGGTCCTGAGAGTGCCCAGTACCGCAAAGAGTTGGGAGCAGCAAGCTGCACGACCGTTGTCAGGTAAAAATAAAGGAAGAGAAACAATCCTGGGGTTCTAGCTCTGGAACGTTCAGTGAATGGCTTCACAAACCCGGAAAAATGTTCCAATTCCCAGGATAATGTTGCAATCACTGGGACAATGCTACAATACTTGGACAACATTCCAATTCATGGGATAATGTTGCAGTTCCAGGGGCAACATTTCAAATCCTGGGGCAACGTTCTAATCTCAGGAATAATGTTACAATCCCAAGGGCAACATTCCATGTTCCAAGACAACCTTCCAGTTCTGGGATAATGATCCAGCTTCCAGGACAACCTCTCAATCCCTGGGGCAACGTTCCAGTCCTTGAAATAATGTTGCAGTATTCAAGAAAACATTCCAACCCCTGGGATAAAATTGCAATCCCAGGGTCAATGTTACAATCACCAGGACAATGTTGTGGTCCTTGGACAAATTTAATTTCCAAGATACTATTGCAATCCCCAGGACAATATTCCTATTGCTGCGATAATTTGCAATCCCAGGGACAATGTTACAATCCCCAGGACAATGTCTTAATTCCCAAAATAAAGTTCCAGTCCCCAGAATAATGTTCTAATTCTTCAGACCACCGCTCAATCCCTGGGATAATGTTGCAATCCCCCAGGAAAACATTCCAGTTCTTGGGACAATGGTCCAACTCCAGAGGCAACCTCCCAGTTCCTTTTCTTTAATATCGCAATCCCCAGGGCAATTTTCCATTTCTCGAGACAAACTTCCAATCCCTGGGAAATGTTGAAATTCCAGGACAATGTTCCAAGCCCCCGAGGGGAGGCTGCAATCCCTAGGGGCAACCCCGAGGACCACCTCCCAATTCCCTGGGGGAAAACGTCGCAACCTCCAGGGGAAGGGTCCAGTTCCCGGGACAGTGTTGACAATTCCCGGGATAACGCCGCAGAGGGGAGGGACCGCCCTTACATCTTGGTGATCCTCCACGACCCAGACGGGGAGCTGGGGGTAGCGGCGCAAGCAGCGGGCGGTCCCGCTCATGGCTCCTGGAGGGGACCCCGCTTCACTACCTCTCCTTCAGTCCTCAGAGCCTCCGGGGGAAGCAAATCCTCCGTCGGACCTCAGCCCTCGACCTATGCGATTGGAGGAAAACGAGTCCAGCACCAGAAATGTGCCGGCCTGAAGCAAATGCAAAGAGGCACCGCTCTGAAACATTGCACTTTCGGCTTCAATGCTGCAGGATCGAATCTCCTGCAAGGCTTTACCTGCTAAACAGCAATTGCTGCTACCTTGTGCTTATAAAAACAAACACCTTCATGCTTATGTTTGACCATTTATTTAATGTGCATCGACCCGAGTCCAATTCTAAACTTTAAACAGCTTCCCTTTGTGTGAAGATTGCAGTCAACTTTCCAGTTGTGTTTTCATGGACACGTATTGAAATAACACGCAGTTTCCTAACGGGCTGCTTAAACATCCCCTGTCGCCAGCTCAGCGTTTGCAACCAGAATCGGTGCATATATATCCCCCGGAATGTGGCGTGTTTCTTTTCCTCTCCTGCGCCGCCATGTATCTGTGAAAAGCCAATGGGCACAGAGCAAGGGGGATGCTACTTCCGAGAGTTTCCGTCCCAGCTTTTTGCTCTGCTTCCTGTGCCTGAGAGAGAAGCACCACCAGCTCGTGGTAAACTGTAAGTCCCGCAGCATTGAGTGAAATGCAACAGGTTATTTAGAGTGGGAGCGGGTTTGCAGTGTTTGGTCTAACGATGGGCTCCCTGTGTAGGAGCGCCGTGCAGCTAATGCACTGGGGTGGAAACAATTAACGGGGAGGGAGTTGCAGCATTGTGGAGAAACACACACACGACGCCACTGCAATCACCGATGCAGGAAAACAAAAGGGGGCTGAATTAGACAGTGGGACGATTAGGAAAGGGAAAAAAAAACATGTTTTATCGGTGTTTAATTCCTCATTCCTCTGGCCATGGTGACCATTGACTGTTTGTTTGCTCTTGGAGCTTCCTCTGCGCAAATAGTGTGTGTTCCCTATTCTACGACAGGGACCGCGTTTCCACACCATCACTGTAAGGGTGCCACATCAGTGTAATTTCTTCTCTCTGCTTCTCCCCTGGAGTTACCCACTGTGTTGATATGCAGCCCTCTGCTGCAAGACATGTGTAGTGAACGTATTCGGTCCGCGTTGAACCTGTTTTAAGTTGTAATTGTTGGTAGCTGGGAATGTTTTCGAATTGGACAGTTGTATTCAATGTTGCAAGCTGACTTTAGACAGGACATGAGGCCAAATTCGATTGTGAATAGAAGTGTGCTGCACTCTTTCAATACAGGGTTAATGGCAGGATTCTTGGCAGTGTGGAGGAATAGAGGGATCTTGGGGTCCACGTCCACAGATCCCTCAAAGTTGTTACCCAAATTGATAGGGTTATAAAGAAGGCGTATGGTGCGTTGGCTTTCATTGGCAGGGGAATTGAGTTTAAGAGCCGTGAGGTTATGCTGCAGTTCTATGAAACCCTGGTTAGACCACACTTGGAATATTGTGTTCTGTTCTGGTCACCTCATTACAGGAAAGATGTGGAAGCTTTAGAAATGGTGCAGAGGAGATTTACCAGGATGCTGCCTGGACTGCAGGGCAAGTTTTATGAGGAAAGGTTGAGGGAGCTAGGGCTTTTTTAATTGGAGCGAAGAAGGGTGAGACGTGACTTGAGAGAGGTGTACAAAATGATGAGAGGCATAGATAGAGTAGATAGCCAGAGACTTTTTCCCAGGGCGGAAATGACTGTTACGAGGGGGCATAACTTTAAGGTGATTGGAAGAAGGTATAGGGGAGATGTCAGAGGTAGGTTCTTTACACAGAGAGTGGTGGGTGTGTGGAATGCGCTGCCGGCAGTGGTAGTGGAGTCAGATACTTTAGAGACTTTTAAGCAACTTTTGGATAGGCACATGGAGGATAATAAGATGTTGGGTATGCAGGGTAGATTGATCTTAGTGGGATAATAGGTCGGCACAACATCGTGGGCCAAAAGGCCTGTACTGTGCTCTACTGTTCTATGTTCTTCAGCTTAAAAAAGGAGTTCATACAAAATAACTTCGTTGCAACCTGCTTGGATACAGATTATTTAAGGACATGAAGGTATAATGTCCCTTGGCAATGTGGACTAGCAAGTACTGAATGGTACTCAGAAATACCACTTTTTAAAAGAGGTGATTGGAAGAAAATGTGGGACAAAGGACATTTTCTTCACCTCCTCTGAAGATTTTCTGAGTTGGTTTTCCTTGTTTTATGTTCTTGGGATGTGCATTATCTGGCTGGGCCAGCATTTGTTGCCTATTGTACCCTACTTTCTATCACTGCTTGGAAACCACTGTTGGTCCTTAAGGTGTAAGGACACTCAGGGTGCTGTTGAGGGAAGGAGTTCCAAGATTTTGACCCAGCAGCAATAAAGGAACTGTGATGTATTTCCAAATCAGGATGATGTGTGGCTTGATGGGGAATTTTCAGGTTGAAAGTGTTCCTGTGTATCTGCTGCCCTTGTCCTTCTGGGTGGTCGAGGTCATAGGTTTGGAAGATGCTGTTGGAGGCTTGATAATAGTATTAAGTGGCAGAGAGCAGCAAAGCACAAGGTTTGATACACACAGAGCTGAATTAGTTGACACCGGCCGGGATAATATGATTCTTGGCCTCAGTGCCCAGGCTAGACCTGAGGAAGGAGAAAATTTCATGAGTGACTTCCCCCTCTCCCTGCTAATAATCATTAGTTTTTCTATAATTGGGCTTAACTGTGTGCTGAACCTGGCTGACCATCACTGTCTAATGATGGACAAAAAGAAAATGGGGTATATGACCATAAGAAAGAGTTCAGAATATAAATTTTATTTACACTTCATGAACCCAAGAAAAATAAAATGCTGAGGTTGATACAAGTTTGAATTCTTAACAGGAATGTTTTTGACTCTGAGGATTAATCCTTCAGTGATTAAATATTTTCCACACTGTCATAGAGGTCTTCCAGCACAGGAAAAAGACCCTTTGGCCCATTGCATTATCATCAGTCCAAAACAACTGCTTAACTATTCTAATCCCATTTTCTAGCACTTGGTCCATAGTCTTAAATGTCTTGGCATCACAAATGTACATCTAAATTCTTCTTAAATGTTGAGGATTTCTATCTCTGCCAATCTGACAGGCAGAGAGTCAGGATTCCCACCACCCTCTGAATGAAAAGGTTTTGTGTCACATCCCCTCCAAATGTCCTGCCCTTTACCTAAGTCTGTGCTTCCTGGTCATTGATCCCTCCACCCAAGGGAAACAATTCCTTCCCTGTCTTTTTTCAAATTCATTCATAAGACATCCAAGTGTTGCTGGCTGGCCAACATTTATTGCCCTTTCCAAGGTGCCCTCGAGAAGGTGGTGGCAAGCTGCCTTCTTGAACTGCTGTAGTCCTCATGGTGTAGGTTGACCCACAGTGCTCTTCAAAGGGAATTCCAGGACTTTGACCCAGTGGAAATAAAGGAACAGTGATATATTTCCGAATCAGGATGATATGTGGCTTGAGGTGGAATATTCAGGTTGAAAGTGTTCCCATATATCTGCTGCCCTTGTCCTTCTGGGTGGTAGAGGTCATAGGTTTGGAAGGTGCTTTTGGAGGCTTGATAGTACTAAGTGGCAGAAAGCAGAAAAGTATGAGATTTGATACCTGCTGTGTGTTGAGTTAGTTGACCGCAGACAGGATACTATGATTCTTGGCCTCAGTGCCCAGGCTAGACCGGAGAGGGTAGACGATTTCATGAGTGACTCCCCACATCCCTGCTAATAATCATTCATTTTGATATAATTAGGCTTAACTGTGTGCAGAGGCTGCTAACAATCACTGTATAATGATGGGCAAACAAACCTTGGGGTATGTAAGCAGAACAGGGAGTCCAGAATATAAATGTTATTTACACTTCGCAGTCATCAAACAAAAAAAGAAGAAAAATGCTGAGGTAGATATAAGTTTGTATTCTTAACAGCAATGTTTTTGAATCTCGCTCTGAGGATTAATTCTTCAGTGATTAAATATTTTTCCACAATGTCACAGAGGTCTTCCAGCACAGGCAAAAAAGGATTCTTCGGCCCATAGCATTTGGGTCAGTCAAAAACGACCATTTTCCAGCACTTGTCCCATACTCTTGTATGCCTTGGTATCGCAAATGTACATCTAAGTTCTTCTTAAATGTTGAGGATTACTGCGTCTACTACCCTTACAGGCAGAGAGTCAGGATTCCCACCACCCTCTGAGTGAAAAAGTTTTGCCTCACATCTCCTCTAAACTTCCCGCCCTTACCTTAAATCTGTGCATCCTGGTCGTTGATCCCTCCACCCAGGGGAAACATTCTCTTCCCAGTCATTTTTTTATTCATTCGTGGGACATGGGCGTCACTGGCTGAGCCAGCATTTATTGTGCCTCCCTAGTTGACCTTGAGAACGAGATGGTGAGCTGCCTTCTTGAAGCACAGCAGTCCACATGCTGTAGGTTGACACACAACACCCTGAGAGAGGGAATTCCAGGATTTTGACTCCGTGACAGTGAATATTACCAAGACAGGATTGTGAGTGGCTTGGAGCGGAACTTGCACGTAGTGGTGTTACCATATATCTGCTGCCCTTGATGCCCCGATGGAAGTGGTCTTGGTTTTGGAAGGTGCTAAGGGTCTTTGGTGTATTTCTGCAGCGCATCTTGTAGATAGTCCATACTCAGCATTGGTCAGGGATGTAGTGGATACATTTGGATGTGGTGTTAATCAAGTGGGCTGCTTTGTCCTGGAAGGTGTCAAGCTTCTGGAGTGTTGTTGGATCTGCACTCATCCAGGCAAGTGGGGAGTATTCCATCACACTCCTGACTTGTACCTTGTCGATGGCGGACAGGCTTTGGGGAGTCAGGAGGTGAGTTACTCACTGCAATATTCCTAGTCCTAATCTCATTTTATAGCCACTGTGTTTACGTGATGAGTCCTGTTGAGTTTCTGGTCAATGGTAACTCTTCAGCATATTGATAATGGGGGGATTCAGTGATGGTGACGCCATTGAATGTCAAGGGACGGTGATCAGATTGTCTCTTGTTGGAAACAGAAATTGAAATTGCTGGAAAAGCTCAGCAGGTCTGGCAGCATCTGTGGAGAGAAATCAGAACTTTGAGGAAGGGCAACTCAACTCAAAATGTTAACTCCGATTTCTCTCCACAGGTGCTGCCAGACCTGCTGAGCTTTTTCAGCAATTTCTATTTTTGTTTCTGACTTAAAAACTGAAAGAACTGCGGATGTTGTATTTGTCTGTTATTGGAGATTGTCATTGCCTGGCATTTGTGGGCACAAGTGTCTATGCCGCTAACAATTTTATGTGTCTTAATTATGTCCCTCCTAAGTGACCTTGGCTTTAAGTAAAACAGTTCCAGTATGTCCAATCCCTTCATAACTAAAACTCTCCAATTTATGCAACATCTTTGGTAAATCTCATCTGCACCTCTCCAGTGCTATCACAACGCTCCTATAATGTGGAATCCAGTGTTGTCTGAGAGTTCATGCTGTCT